GGTTATAGGGTGAAGGCATATCTGACTTCCACTTCATAGGAATAGGTCTTGGCCTGATTTTGAGTTTGAACTTCTTTCCCCATGTTGAATCCAGAGGAAGCCAAGCAGTGCCCCATATGGCTTGGCAGCACTGGACTATTAAATGCAAGGTCACTAGTTCAAATTCACTAGTTGCTCCTTGGAAGCCCTACAGCGGATCGCTGTGAGTCAGAAATGATTCATTGGCACTTTGCAACAACAGAGTAGGCTATAAGGACCCTTGGTAGTGTAGTGGGTTATGCATCAGGCTGCTAACCCCAAGATCAGCACTTTGAATCTACCAGTTACTCCATGGGAGAAAGGAGAGACTGTCTGCTCTAGTAGATACCATATACAGGATCACTATGAGTCAGAACCGACCTGACAGCATACAACCACCACCAAAGATGGATACAGGAGCATGATGGCTCTGTAGGACAAACACTGGACTACACACCACAAGCACTGCAGTTCGAGCCCACCAGCTGCTTCTCAGGTAAAAGATGAGGCTTTCTGCTTCCACAAGATGGAAGACTATGAGTCAGAACCAAGTAGAGGACACTTAAAAACAACAACAGTCCACAATGACAATATTTTATAACCTACTATTATTGTTGTTAAGTGCCATCAAGTTGGTTCTGACTCATAGTGATCCTATATAGGGTTTCTGAGAAGCAATTGGACCAAAGTAACCTTATGGTCCAGAGTTTTATCTCACAGCGCCACACCAGGACACACACAGATGAACTTTCTTAAATGCCTGCCTTCTATAGACCCTCACTATAACTGGGGACCACAAGGACAATTTGGGTTTCTGGTTATTGATATTAGTTGAGATCATGTCACCAACATCCTTTGAGAGATCGGCTCATTCACCCGCCTTTAGTGTACAGCTACTCAGGTAAATGGCCATAGAACCTCTAATGGTAAACCAGGGAAATTAATTTTATATATGAGGGGACATCAAAAAATTAGTGGATTCCTTTGAGTTTCAGTCATAGAAGAGAGTTTGTCACAAAGACACCTGATTGTTTGCCTTGGTGGCTCCCCAGCAAATAACTTGATTGTAGTAGCCAATCAGATTGTCATTTTTGTTTTCAATTTTTCCTGCTGGTCTTTCTTTCAAGAAATATCTTCTGTTCCTCTAGCCACTCCAGACTGGTCTGTATATCCTTTTAAGTGGAAATGTCTTACCTCAGAAGGTTCTGGATGGGGCTCAGGATTCAACCTAAGGTCCTATACACTACAAAGCCTATTTCACTGGTGAAGTTCTAGAACTCTTTTTAGGTATTCCAATCAGTTATAGACTGTAGACACGCTTACAACTTTTCTGTAATCATGTTTCCCAATATTCCTTTCCATCCCACTCAGGTGTCTAATTTAAAAGTATATACGAGTGAAACCAACATTCATAAGACAGTCAAGCATCTTTGCATTGTTTCCTCTCTTTTACCCATTCAGATTATGCCTTGATCACTATATCACAGAGGCCTTTTTTCCAAGGTTGAGCATACATCAATATTTACCTCTGTCCCATTTAGCCCATGCACTCCTGCCTAAGTGTTCCCCTATCTACCTTGTTCTTCCAATCCTTCCCCCTTCTTGTGTATTGCCCTCCCCAATACCTGAACTGTGATGTGTCTATCCTCTAACCTGTACCTTTCCATCCACTCTCTCTAATTTCTGTTAGCCAACAATTTTTTTTTTCCTTTCTTTTAGTATGGGTATCTTTACTTAAGCTTCATATTCAAAGGGAGCACACTAGCAGGCATGTAAGCTTGCTAGCCACCATGTGGGTCTACGTGATAAGTGGAAGAAGGGGAAAGGCAGCAATGAAGATATGGGCTGAGTTCAACCATGTTGAACATATAGACTCCTGTCAGGCTGGAGATTAGAGAGAGATGAGGAAGGGCTGGTTTGTCTGAAGTGTGGTGAGACCTTAGGACTCCTAAACTAATGGACAAGGGCCTTGCCACAGAGGGCTAGAGCTGAGAGTGAAGCATCCAGTTGATATGAAGTGAGTAGAGACACACAAGAACATCCAAACTTGCAGGTAATACCCATTTGACCTAGCTTCAATGGCTTGATGATCAGAATTCAAATAGAGGAAAATAAAAGCAATTTGAAAAAGGAAACAAGCATGAATTGAAATAGTTTGAAAAACTTGACTTATCCTTATAGATGTAGTAGCTCAAAATACCAACTGAGAAGGAAGGACTAGTCACATCAAGGATCAAATATAACCTTTCTGTACACAGGGTTGATAGGGATGGGAAACTTAGACATTGGCTACCTTCAATGGATGGGCTATAAAGGCATGACATGGCTGGCTTACAAGTTTTCAAGAGGCAGCTTAGTTTCAGGATGCAGGAGAAGATAGAATCCCCACTGGATAGTTTTCATATTGGCTAGATGAGTCTGGTGAAAGGATATGGGGATAAGATTCTTATGATTCTATCGTGAGTAATTGTTATGATGACTAATTGTGATTGTCTCAACTGTAAAAGTAGAAGTTTTGTAACATAAAGGGGAGAGTAGTTTAAACTTACATTCCAGGAATAGAGGACCTTAGGACCATCAAGGGATAAGAGCATGATCAGAATGTGGGACCCTATCCAGAGAAGCAGTGGCACCAGAGATGGAGGCAAAGATGATGACATCTAGAGAGCAGTCGAGGACTCTAGACTCATGGAAACAAAAAGTCTGGAGCTGGCAATCAAGAGGGAGAATTCCAGAATCTGCCCTTTGGTTGTTTAAATGGTTATATATGCTTGAGTGTTTTTGTGTACATCAAAAACAACAACAACACTGGCTGATGGGAAGAGAGGACATATGCACAGGAGCGCCCACACTTGCTGATGATACCCACGTGACCTGGACTGGATGACTGGGTGATTGGAGCTCAACCAGGAGAGGAAAGAAGAGGGGGAAAAGAAAGAAAGAAAAAAAAAAAGAGTGAGCTGATACAGTCTGATGAACTTGACCTAAACCTATGGAGCAGCGACTCAAAAGAGGGAACAAATCCTCACAGCAAGAAACATTCACACACACACCCACACACAGAGTGGACGGAGAAGGGCAGCTTGGACATTGGATACTCAAAT